AAAGCAGCTAAAAACTCATGTTGTCGGAACGGTGCTTTATGTTAGGACCGCCAGGTAGCATCTCCGCTTACGCGCCTTCTACGCCCAGAAGGAATTAGGACAGGGGTAGGGTTTAGAACACTTCACAGGACTAGCCGCTCGTGTAAAGCAACTAAAAAATGTTCGTTTTGTTTTCAGTGTGCTTTACGTGCGTGTGTGTGTGTGTGTTGGCAGGGCGCGACGGTGCGCAACGAGGGCGAGGCAGTGGTGATCGGGCGCGTGGTGCGCGGAGGCGCCGCCGACAAGTCGGGGCTGCTGCGCGAGGGCGACGAGGTGCTGGAGGTGAACGGCGTGGAGATGCGCGGCAAGAGCGTCAACGACGTGTGCGACCTGCTGGCCGGCATGACCGGCACGCTCACCTTCCTGGTGGTGCCCGGCGCCGCCGGCGCGCCCGCCGCGCCCCGGCCGCCCGGACACCGCGACACGCTGGTCAGTTCAACTACGCATTCGGGCAACGGTTGAGCGATTGGATGATTGGACGCTTGAATTATTAAAGTATTGAATGATAGGACGATTGAATGATTGAACTGTTAAATGATTGAGGATTGAATGATTGAGCGTTTGAATAATTGGACTATTGAATGATTGGACTATTGAATGATTGGACTATTGAATGATTGGACTATTGAATGGTTGAGCGTTTGAATGATTGGACAATTGTATGATTGAATTATTAACTGATTAAGTGATTGAAAGATTGAACTATTGAATGATTGGACAATTAAAAGAATTGGCTATTGAATGAAATAACGATGGATGTGCTTACCGCTCGGACGGCAGGGATCTTCTCCAGCAGTGGACAAAATCCGGCGCCAACCTACATGTTATCTTGCGGGGCGTTCTCCCTGACCAGGTATCTTCACCAGCGGGGCAGCGCCCCAGTCGGGACGGGATCTACACTCCCGACTCATCTTCCGACATCTGCGTTTGTGTAGTGCTTGTGAGTGAGTAAGTATGTGTTGGTGTGTGTTTAAGAAAGAGGTGAGGATAGGAGAAGGAAGGGGAAGGAAAAATTATGCGCGGTCCGTGGCTCGTTTGTTAGGGTACTGCCCCGGCATTCGCCTGGTGTTGATGGGAGACACCATGGAAAACTACCGATTAGAGCGGCCGGTCGTTAGAATTCTCCTCCAGGCAGCGACTGATTTCGACCTACCTCTACCAGTGGTTGAACGCGACGGCATAGGTGGCTCAGGGCAAACCTGAAGCCACTGGAGTGCCTCTGACGGGGATTTCCTAGGATTCCACTCCCGACGGCGGTAGGATTTTCGACATTAGTTAAGTCGAGTTCAACCGCTGTCTGGAAGAGAATTATAGTGGCAGGCCGCTCGAATCTGTAGTTTTCCTTGATTTCTCCGACAGAGCACCTCTCTGACATATGGGCTACGTACCGCGCGCGATTTTTCCTTCCTCTTCCTTGATCTATCCCCCCCTTTACTTCCATACACTTACACTTACATGCACTACATTACCACACATGTCGGGGGCTTAGAGCTTGTCCCGACTGGGAAGGTGCCCTGCTGGTGAGAGATACCTGGTTAGGGAAAACCCGAGGGACTATGGCTGTTCCAACAAACGTATCTATCCTTGCTTACAGAAGTGAATAAATTCCTTGAATATAAGCAATATTTTGTTATAATTATGACAAGTTTGTTATATAATTGTCAAAATAAGTTTATTTTCATGAGAGATTATGTTCATAATAATTTGCAACAAACTTGAAATCTTAAAACGAAAGGTGTGTTTTCTGGCTCGATAGCGTTTCACGCTCCATATCATTCTTCAATCTAATGCGTGATTAATTGTATGAACTATACATTTATCTGCGTGTACAATGTCAAACCGTGGCTCATTGCAGGCGTACTAAGAGGCTCTTTAAAAAATTGAGAAGTTACGAATACATGATTCTTTATAATTTGACCTATTTAATAATAAGTTACTGCTCAAATTTATAGTCTCTACTTTGTTAAAGTATCACGGTATTCGCTATTCTATGCAAATGTGTGGGTTTTTTTCTCCGTGAATTAATTACGAGTAGTTGCAGACTTTTAACTCATTATTTTTAATTATCCCTAAAGAGGGTCCAAAACCTGAAAACGACTTGCATGTGATTTGTGTTCATGTTCTTTTCAAAATAAACTAATGTCTGTAAGTGTTTATGGCTACCTTACATTATTATTTTAAATCTAAACCCGTGATTTTCTTACAACATAGCACTGCACATATTACAAACTACACGGCACTTCACTGCTCTTCCCCGTTCTGTTTTCCTCTCCAATACAACGATAGAAGTACTATTGTAATAATTTTTAGATAAGTAACATTAAATAGCGTGCGTTAATAATTAGGAAAGTAAATTATTGTAACAATAATAATGTGTAATGAATGAATAAGGATAATTCACTTCACATTCCATGTATTAATGTAATTATATTTTGCAATTTTATTTGAGGGTGATCGCTACGCGGTGGATAGGCCAACGCCTTCTATTTCTCGAATGGCGTGCAAGTCCGTGCTTTGTGTTTGCGCAGCTGCACATGAAGGCCCACTTCGACTACGACCCCGAGGAGGACCTGTACATCCCGTGCCGCGAGCTGGGCATCTCGTTCCAGAAGGGCGACATCCTGCACATCATCAGCCAGGAGGACCCCAACTGGTGGCAGGCGTACCGCGAGGGCGAGGAGGACCAGACGCTGGCCGGCCTCGTGCCGTCGCGCTCCTTCCAGCACCAGTGAGTGCATCCTTCTGCTTTCCCCCCCTTCTTCTTCTCCACCTTCTTCTTCTTCTTCTTCTTCTTCTCCTTCTTCTTCTTCTCCCCCTCCTTCTTCTCCCCCTCCTTCTTCTCCCCCTTCTTCTTCTTCTTCTTCTTCTCCCCCTTCTTTTTCTTCTTCTCCCCGTTCTTCTTCTTCTCCCCCTTCTCCTTCTTCTTCTTCTTCTTCTCTCCCCTTCTCCTTCTTCCTCCCCTTCTCCTTCTTCCTTCTCCCCTTCTTCCACTCCTTTTTCTTCTCCCCTTCTTCTTTTTCTTCTCCCCTTCTTCTTCTTCTTCTTCTTCTCCCCTTCTTCTTCTTCTCCCCTTCTTCTTCTTCTTCTCCACCTTCTTCTTCTTCTTCTTCTTCTTTTGTTTTCGACTTCTCCCCTTTCTTTTTTCCATCTTCTTCCCCTTCTTTTATCTTCTTCTAATTATTTTTCTATCTTTCTCGTTTTCTTCTTCTCCTCCTCATCCTTATTCTTCTCCTTTTTTCTTCTGCCACTTCTTTATTCTCCCCCTTCTTTTTTCTTCTTCCTCCTTTTTTCATTTTCTTTCCATTCTTTCTCTCCTTCTTCTCATCCTTCTCCTCCTTCTTTCCCTTCTTTTCTTTTGCTCCTTCTCATCCTTCTCGTCTTTCTTTTTCTTCACATTGTCATTCTTCTTCCCATTAACCTCTTTCTTGTTCTTCTTCTCTTTCTTCTTGCTTTCTTCTTCCCCATCTTTTTCTTCCTTGTCGTCTCCTTCTTCATCTCCTTCTCTGTCTTCATTTTCTTCTTTTTTTCTTTTTGTTCCTTTTTTACTTTTTCTTTATCTGAAATACTGAAATAACTAGATACATAGTAATCACTTCCATTAAGGTCTTGCACTACTAGAAATGGGAAAAATTGTTATAAAAAGAATACAAATTTTGCAATATACACAATTTACTAAATTATTTTCTTTTAACTATTGTTTAATGATCTTTGCAAAACATGTTTGTAACTAATACAGATATATTTGAAGATACTTCTATATTATTCATTTGTCTATTTGTTAATCTCAAGAAGTGTGGATGAGTAGGGGGCAGATTTTAATGAAAAGTAATTTTTTGCTTTTCAGTTTTGAACAATGCCTTTTGATATAGGCATTAATTTTATGTTACGACAAAAGGAAATGAACCATTTTCATATCACTTCTCTTTCTTTCCATTTTTTATCGGTTTTGACTAAAAACCATTTTTTACCTTTTCCCATTGTTTTTAAGGCATATTTTGCTGATTTCATCAATTTTAATAATATTTTAATGGTACTTATTTTTGATAATAATTACAATATGCAACAAATATTCTCCTCACAATGTCTTTCTTCACACAGAAGTTGTAATGTCGTTGTAAGTGTGTAACCTAAGGTTTGTGCAATGCCTGTTTGCGCCATTGCCAGTTCGACCAATTTTGTGATAACTATACAGAGTGAGAGATTTCCTGGTATAGAACAATCCAAACCAAAAGTTTGCAAGCTGAGTTCACTTAGTTCCATCAGTAACCTCATCCAACATTTGTTCTTCTGAACTGATTTTGATCAAACATTTTACATAATTTTTCTTTGCTTTTAGGGCATTTTATTGATCATTTTTGGCAATGTTTGAAGTCATCAAAATCCGCCCTCCCCCACTACTGATGAGTAAGAAACTAACTTGCACATCCAAATTATTTTACTACTCCTATAGCTCTAACTTTAAATGTATTATCCCTTTGCCCAAATATATTCAATATTTCATTGCTGTTAATTTTACGTGATAAAAATTATGCATGAAAATTAAATCATGATCTAAATAAAATATTATTCTAAAGTAGGTAAATTTATTCATTTAGATACAGTAAAATAATCATGATAATGCTTCAGAGTTTCTTAATTATCTTTATGCGCTTAATTAGAAAAAAATGTGTTAAACACACTTAATTTTTTTATCAGGTACAAAATAGGCAAGTAATACATCAATTTTCATTTGACAATCTTTCTGTTTCTCCATCTTCTGGTTTTCTTTTGGTGATTCCTATATGACAGTAATTCTGTAGTTATGGCCTTGAACATCAGAAAAAATGTATTGGTTGAATAACTCCAAATATGCATGACTAAGCAAAAGTTAAATTACTTGTATAATCCAACTACACTCAAGCACATTGCGATTGACAATGTTCTGAAATTCTCCTAAGCAAAAAATATGTCTTTCTTAGCAATTAAAGTGATGTGCCGTTCTTCTTACTATGAAGAGACTGTTGATATGGGCTTCTGGCTTCATGACCATCTCAATGCAAAAATTTCCTTTCAGAAAATTGACCTTGGGAAAAAGAGGTCAGAGTGTGTCTCTCAGTTGCCTCTTTACTTCAGATTCTTGCTAACAGAGTGCTGACACAACAACTACTTCCCTCCGTTTTAGAAACGAACTCAAAAATAAAAAGTATGATGTCTAGAAATATATGTGTATGCTGTATCCTATTAATTTTATCCACATATTTTTCTTCAATGACTAGGCAGTGCCAATCTTGTCTTCTAACTAGCTACATCTCTGACAATGATACTCTTTCAATAGCACTACTTTTGTTTCCATCTCCCACTACATTGGGATGACAGTTACAGGCCATTTCATTTTCCTGGGTTGGCTTAATAATGAATGACCGTTTAAGGCAAAATTCCTCATGATTCAGAACACAAAGTGCTTTTTATACTTCACTATGGTCTGTGTCAGGGTAGAGCAGATTTGGGTTTTTCCCTCCTTCCAGAAATTGCATTCGAAATTTTAAAAATTAGAATAAAAAGACAAAATATGATATCTATGAAATTAAAAAAAATGATAAAATGCCTTAAATTTTATTTGAAAGTCCTAGATACTCTATTTACTTCATGTAAACATTGTTAAATTCTTTGAGCAATTCGTTCCAAAATTCCTCGTCTTGACAAAATTGGCCAATGCCCATGCACTGTCAGTGTGCAATCTAATTGCCATTGTACATAATTTTAATGGCAAAACAGAATTCTTCAGCTCTAGAACAAAATCTCTGCAGGAAAGAAGTTTTAATTTTGTGGTGTACTCACTCATTGGGATGATTGCTTTTCCACACTTGTGTTACAGTGAACTTCCATAAAATCCTGCTGAATTTTAAAACATAATGTGGCAAAATATATTTGTAGGTTTTGCAAAAAAGTATTACTTTAAGCAGAAATTCAATAGGTATTTTAGTAAATATAGTTTCAATAGATTTAAGAAGCAAGTCATATAAAATTAATAAAGCCTTTGAAAAACAGATGATAAAAAATACAATTTGTGCTAACCTGTTGGTTCATAATCTTCCCTATACGTTTATTTCCTGGGAAACATTGCTACTTTCTGATGTCATTTCATTATTTGTTTTCCAGGTTTTCTCTTTCTTCACTGATATTATTCCTCTCTTCCCAAGGCATTTAAGTAATTTTGTTTTCCTTGTTTTCCCTTTCATTTATCTTTCTTTCTTTCCACACCTTCTTTTATTTTATCTTCTGCTTTTCAACTAGTTACTCATCCGAACCTTTTAATCTATTGAGAACTTATTTGCAAGATGGGTTTTGTTTTGAAATATTAACATCTGTTATGCTATCAATGAAAATATATGTGTTAAGAGTGAGAACCACGGGAATGATTGCTCCTAAATTTGGAACGAAATCTTTTGATCGGTCGAAAATTCTTCTGTGACTTGCAATACAAATTCTTCCAATTTTTTTTTTACACAAAATTTGGTTTAATGCAACCCGCACTGCACGTGTGTATTAAGGGTTTGCGTTGCTGCGATGCGGACAGGGGCTGGCTAGGGCGACCGGGCGATTGATTACTTTCTGGAAGCGTCAACTGCCAGGGTCATTACTCCCGCACGTGTAGTGCATGTTGTATCACGGGAAGCGACTGCGATCTTCACCCGCGTGGATAGTGAGATCCGGTGGCGACCTACACAAAGGTTTGCAACGTTTTCCCCACCCAGGTATCTCCCGCCAGCGGAGCAGCAGGGTCAACCTCTTAGCTCCCTGCTGGTCTCCCAACATGCGTGGTAGTGTAGGAGGCGGAGTGAGACGGAGAGTGGAATAGAACGGATCGGGGCGGGACGCAACAATTGATTGATGGATGTTTTCGGGTGCGTCAACTACTGTGGCCATAGTCCCGTTAGTGTAGTGGATTTAGTATCGTAGAATGTGGCGGTGTTCCTCCCCCGCTCGATACTGAGATTTGGCTATCCCGCACTCAGTATCACCCCGCCTCCTACGCTACCACACGTTGGGAGACCAGCAGGGCGCTAAGAGGTTGACCCTGCTGAGGCGAAGTTCCGCTGGTGGGAGATATCTGGGTGGGGAAAACATTGCAGATCTATATGTAGGTCGGCGTCGGATCTCACTATCCACGCGGGTGAAAATCATAGATAACGATTAACATAATTTCCTGAGACCCTGTCGTTAATTTTAAGCAAATGGTTCAAGATAGAAACTTGTTTTCTGCTTATTTTTGTTTCTGTTTTTTTCTTCTTCTTCTTCCATATTATTTTTGGGGATACACTGCCAAAATAAAGTTTTTTCGGATAGGACACTCTGTAAGTAATAAAGTATTAAAAGTGTATCGTCTATGAAATCTCACAATTATTTGGTGCTATTGGACTGACATTTCATTGTATTTGTTAAGAAACTCTCTAACTTGTGGCCTGCAATTCGGCTGTTGGAATATGTTAGGGTGAGGGGAGGGATAGTTGGTGTGGAAATTCTTGGAATTCCAAGAAGCAAGAAAGTTCTAACACATTGTTGCAGAACTGCTGTTATAAGGGTGCAAGAGATCATTCGAAGGAATAATAAATGTCTTCATTCTCGTAATTAATAGTCAGAGGGCCAATCTTTCAGCAAGTGGGTGAGATTTTAGAAGAACCCTATGATCCATGATGAACTTCATGAATCTGCCTCCACTCTAGAAAATATTTTTTAATGAGAGTGTTTCTCAAAGTAATTTGATGGGGACAATTTATAATACAAAATAATCTTAAAATTAATAATAATACATAATAATCTTAAACAAAACAACTCGCACTGCATTTTTTTTCCCTTTCTTCTTCACTAGTTAGTAGCAAGAAATTAATTTTATTACTCTCTTGTATAATCTTGATTACTCTCTCTTATTAGTAAGAGATTAATTTTGCTCAGTTGTTTTGGATAGTAAATAATCATTCTGATAGAATTCATTCCTCTTTTTCTAATAAATGATTTTAATAAATACCCAGCCAATATTGGCTTACTTCCACCAGCTATTTATATAATGCATTTATAATAATTACAATTTGTTCTTGAAATTTTTTTGAAGTTTCATGACCATTTCATTGTTTTTGTTAAGAAATTCTCTAACTTGTCACTATCTGATAACCCAAAGTGAAACATTAAATATTTAAAGAATGTTAAAGTTATATTTCAGAAAACATACAAAAAATTGCTGTGTAAAACATCTGAATTTACAACTAGTAACTAAACTATTGTTACGCTACTTGTCCTTGAAATATTAAAAATTTGTACTTTTGTTTACAAAATTAATGCTCATTTTCAAAATGATACAATTCACATGTATTCATTGCTGAGAGGACTAAATTGAGTTTTGTCTATTTATTGGAGAAATTCATAATAGAAACTTAATTTTTCAGGCGTGAATCAATGAAACAGACAATAGCAGGAGATCGGATGACAAAGGAGAAGTCGAAGAAAGCTGGAACATTGCTTTGTGCAAAGAAGAATGCAAAGAAAAAGAAGAAGAAAATGCCATATAATGATGGAGGTTATCCCTTCTACGCAACTAGTACTATTGATGGTAAGTATTACACAAAACTGTATTATCTTCTGTAAAAACAGATGCAATTAATTATTAATAATTTATTTAATAAATGCAGTTTCATAGTGAATAACTTAAATATTTTAATTAGATGAATATATAACACCCTAAGGAAAAAAGACAATTTTGTACGATTTATAAGATGCCTTCGACACAAAACTGTATGTGCTGTGGTGTAGTTGCCTTCCCACACATGCATCAAACAGATTTAAAATGAAAATTGTAGAATTTTGTGAGTTATCCTTCAAAAAAATAAGCCAGTACCCCCTATGTCTTGCTGTTTTACATATACACAAACATTACCTCATGCAGTATGTATTTTGGCAGTTTTGTGAACTTATTTATATGTTGTGTGTTTTAGTATTGTAGTTTCTAATAAACTACAATGTTAAAACATAGACAAATGTAGATTATAGCCTTCTTTAGGTTACTAATTAACCTGAAGAATACTATAATCTATGTTGGTCAAAACATTGGTTTTAATTTCTATTAAGCTTAACTCAAAAATCATACAATCTAGGTTCTTTAAAACTTGTTTTCTAGGTCCCCATAGGGAATTAAATAATTATAAAGTAACATAAATAAATAACATAAATAATATAAGGTAATATAAAATTAAATAATTATAAAATAATATAAAGTAATTATTTTTATATTAGGTGCGTGAAATTATTGTTTTTAATTATTGTTTTTCTCGATTGAGCAAAAAACAATAACTTCACTCACGAAATAGAAGCAACATATTTTCTATGGTCATATAAAAATACTTCTATTACAAATCATGATTTCTTTCATCCCCACTCTTCATTCAAAAGGTACCCTCACCCATGGTTAACATTTGTATAATTGTTCTCTCTTTTTTCTCGTCATAAGGTTGAGTCATTGAGGTGAGGCAGTGTTGTTTCATATGAGTTCCTATTCAAATGGAGGCTAATAGCAATGCCGACATTCCAAAAGAGTTGTTCAAATCTGTGAGCGCTGCAATATCAAATTTATTACACAAAATTTCTAAGATATTTGCAGAAAAACTTACTAACAGTTGAGAAATTGTTGTACATCTAAGAGAGTTGTTGCAAGTTTCATAATATATTGTGTTTGTAGTTACATATTAATTATGTATTAATAGTTAATTATAAGTTAATATTTATGGGGATGAATTCAATAAGAGTGATATTAAAGTTGTTTTGTCATTAATGTGTGCTTCATTTTCTTACTTCTCTTGTTAGAAACCGTCTGTGCATAAGTCTTTTTTGCATTGCGACTTCATTGTGAAAAAGTCTTTTATGATGGTACTGTTTCCAGATGTTTTAAGAAAAGTCTAACTTAACACATAACTGCACACAGTAACCCAAATTATTATACAATTATAGAAAAATATGACCTTATTCGACCTTTTCCCTCAGGGATTGAAGGTTTAGCTCCTCTGGGAACTCCCATTCCAAAGTGTGGATGATCAGAAATACGCCCAATATTTCACTGAAATTCTGAAAAACAAGAAAATTGAGGAAAATCAGGGATTTCATTGATCTGAAAAGTTAGAGAAATGAGGAAATTTGTAGAAGAATCATTGGAAGTTAAGGAAAATATTGAAACAATGATATATTACAAGAACTTAATAACTAAATACTATTCATTAAGAAATTTAATCCATCAAAAAATAGTAACTCAATTTTTAATTGTTGAGATAGTTTTGTTTTTCATTTTATCACAGTGAAACCAGAGGAAGAAATCAGAGATGAAGTATTTATATCTGGTTGGTTAAATTTTTTTGTATAGTGTGTAATATTCTTTAATTCTTATCACTGAATTTTGTTAATGCACTGGAAAACTGGGAAAAGTTGAAGAAATTTGTTTCACGAAATGAGTAGTCACCCTGATGTTATTTTAATCACAAAGGTCCTTGTTGAGCTTATGGTAGGGCAGGGTCTGTTTAATCACACAGGTCTTTATGGTTTCGTAAATAACACTTCTCCATGTTAAAAGCCTTGCACGATACTGTGCATATGAATTGTAATGATAATTCAGGCTTATAATGATTGTGTATATTGTATCCATTAAAAGTTGGATTCCAATATTAAGTTATTTCCACATTTAAAACTGTAATTTACCCAGTGCGAAATGCTTGCAAGGCTTCAGCCAGTAATTATTAAATAAATAATTATTTATTTTCTGCAGTAGTTTGTAATCCACAAAATAAACAAATCACATACTTTGTTGTTTACCCTTATTCCTCAAAATGACTTCTTAATGTTTAAGATCATTAAAAAAATCAGGTTATTCAACTTTGTGTGATTTATGCCACCAATTAGGAAACACCCAATTTATTAAAGTATATGCTTCTATTCCTGTATGAGAGCTCCCTAAATTTAAAAGAAGAATTGTGTTACTAATATATTTTTCACATGAATTTTCCCTTCAACAAGATGAAAATGTGAGCTGATTAGTTTTTTAAATGATAACTTTTATTCCATCCAGTGTTATATAGTAATTATATTATTTTTTCAAAAAGTTATTGAAATATTAAGTCTAGTGGAAAATAGATTACCTCATGTTTTCTTTTTACCAATTGTTACCTTCTTCAGAGCTGCAAGATTTATTTTTTAATAAACTTGGTTTCCTAGCAATTTAAAAGAAAATAATTTTAGATCAATCTTTGACCACAAGAAGAAATGCTTAAAAAACAGAAAATCCATTTTGCACGTTAGTAAAACCAAGCATTTTTTGGGATTTTAATTTTCTTACATCATAATGAAAATGTCTATTTATTCCTACTGATTTAATGACTTTTCACAGATCTATGATCATTTTCTGCAACCTGATTTCTGTGATTTTTGACATACATGTCCTTTTTTGTATGACCTCTATTATTGCTATTAAGTTATAGATAATTTTATTGCATTTATACACTCATAATTTTACTTTATTGCATTTATACACTCATAATTTTTCTTTATTGCATTCCTACACTCGTAATGTTGCTTTATTTCTTTCATATAAATTCAATATAAATTCAACAAATCAATATCTATTTGCATAAACTACTGTTTTCATTCTTACCTTACATCTTCTACAGACTTTCAGATTTTAAAAAAAGTGTATTTGACTTCAATCTTATGCCTATACTATTTCAGTTTTATTAATTTAGATCATCTTATTTGAGGTTACACTTTTTTTTTCATTCTTTTAAGGTTTCATACATGTACTCCTTAAATAGGGGTGGTGATTTGCCACAACTGTGTCATAAACATTTATTTACTGAAAGGTTGAGTGATAGAGATTTTCCCTCTTTCACTTGACTTCTGTGGTCACTTTTGTGTGGGTTCTTTGTACTCCTCATCTTCCACTGCTCCCAATGTTTCTTTTACTTGTTCATTTTTCTGGGTCTTCTTTAAATATATGAAAATTATATACAGTTTCTTTCTTCAATCAGTTTTTTAACTGTCATTTGCTGGAGAAATGTTGCCAATACAAGATCTTCCTAACCAGAACCCACTTTGTTCTTCTGGGTTTTCCGTTTGTGCACACATTCACACAGTCTCCAGCACACATCCATACTCTACACAAAGATGAAGGTCATACGTTTTTCTCTATGGTTATTGCAATGTGTTTTACTACCTGTTTTTATAATGCAATTTATGTTGATTTAACTTATATATCTGGTATTTTCTCTCCTTTCAAAATGTCATTTAATATTTCTGTAAGTAATTCCTCTGGAACACAATCATGTTTCACAAACTTCATAAGTATACCTCCAGCTCAGATGCTGTACTATTCTTCATGTTGATTAGGGCTTTTTTTTTATTTTTTCCAAAGTACCTCTTGGTTTAAAGAAGATGTATGTGCACTGAGACGTAATATATTTCCTGAAATTCAATTCTTCCAAATGCAATTAATTGGAAACTGCATGAGAAGCATTTTGACACTTTTCAATATTGTATTTCAGCCCGTAGTGGAATGAAATGACTGTGGGCCCACCCGCTAAACTTTTATCTGGGCCCTCTTTATAGAATTGTACAGCAAATATAAGTAGTGTTACTATTTAAATAATAAAAATATCCGTTAACATATTTGAATTCATCAGTCCATAATTAAAAATCATGAACAAATTTGTCATTTTATGTTAAGTTAAAGTAAATCTTACATTCATATAAACTCATGTAACAAAATGTTTTTGTAATTTTAATTTTGACGTATGAATATTCCAAAAATATTTTGTTTTTTTCTGTCTTTCAGATTATGATGCAGATGAGATTCTCACCTATGAGGAAGTAGCATTGTACTACCCTCGGGCCAACCAGAAGCGCCCCATCGTACTCATTGGACCTCCTAATATCGGTCGTCATGAGCTGAGGCAGCGGTTAATGGAAGATGCAGACCGATTTGCTGCAGCCATCCCACGTAAGCCTCGTTTGCTGTTGTTGTTGTTTTAATTTTGCTTCCTGTAATTACTTCTTTTCTTTCTGTAATACATTTCTTCCTCTTTTTCTTCCTAATTCTCTTCTTCTTCTTTTGTCTTCTTTTTCCTCCTCCTTCTCCTTCTTCTCCTTCCTTCTTTCTTTATCTTCATTTTCATCTTCATCTTCTTCATCTTCATCTTCATCTTCATCTTCTTCTTCATCTTCCTCTTCATCTTCCTCTTCATCTTCTTTTATTTCTTAGATTTGGAACAAGCTCCACTGAAGTGGCAATAGGTTATTCTTAATTTATTCAGATGTCCATGTTCTTGATCGTTATTGAAACAAAAGAAAGTATTATAAACTTGAATTATAAGAGAAAAAAGCATTATGTAGAAAAAAAATTTCAGGATGGCTAATGTAATTCTCTTGTTAGTCACATCAAATGATATACAATGAAATAATTGCATGTTTTTCCATTTCTTTCCTTTCTCTTCAATAAACAACAGACATTGTTTCTGGAATTTATTTTGATAATTCTGTATTTGTTCAACATTGGGAATTTGATTTTCTTGCTTTTGAAGAGCATGCACTTCTTTATATTCATTTTCTTTTATTTTCATTGAGTACTTCAAACTGTATGAGCCTTATACGCTGCTCTTGACAAATTAAAACATCGTGCAAAAATCTTTTCTGTGAGCAAACGATTAGCATTCATCTCTAGTTTTATAATATATAGAAAAATGACAACTTAATTAAACAACAATATGCTTAAGTACATTTTTCTGTGCTTAAACATAAAGTCTGTGGTGTCAAATGGAAATACAGCAGCTTTGATAACTATTTTAAAACTCAGTGGAAATTGCAAAACAACAAAAAAGGAATTTTTAAACTATAAAAATATCTTGCTTATATAAATGGCTGTTTTTTTGTTTGTTTTTGTAAGATATTACTTCAGTGTAATAAAAAAAAATCTTTATTTAGCAAGTACTGGAATATTTTTAGATCTTTCAAAAGATATTGATGTCATTGACAACATTTTGATTTGAAAATTCCCTTCAAATAGAATTAGTAGTACAGCCCTAGATTGGATATCCAGGGCTATCTTCAACAAAGAGTAGAAATACTGTACTGGCACAAAATATATTATTTACTCATTTTTCAAATTCTTTGCCAATTGAGCAAGGGACTTCCCAGGCTTTTATCTTAGGTACTATCCTTTATTTTATATGTAAAAGATATGCCCTCATTTATTAGAAATGGAGAAACAAGTATTTGCTGATGACACAAATGTTCTTTGCAAAAACGAAATAGTAAGCAATATAATTTCAGACAAATTTGTTTCATAGTAAGAAATTAATAGTAAACAAAGGAAAAACTATTTCAATTCAGTTTTGCATTTCAAATAGGCCATTGCCATTGAAAATGAACAATATCCAATTGGCTGATGTTAAGATAAATCTGATGTTAAAATTTCTGGGTCTCTCAATTCAATCAAACTTCAAAGGAAATATCCATATAAATGAACTGAACACTAAATAAAGCTCACTATGCTATGCATTTCGAATTCTTTAAAAATTCAGACAGCATTCATGCAGCTCGTTACATGTATTTTGCAAATGTACATTCCCACCTAAGATATGCCATAATATTCTGGAGTAGCACATCCAGAGTTTTGGATTGCAGAAAAAAGGGTACAAATAATAAGAAATGCCATGTGTGATTCCTGCAAGCCTCTTCATTGACCTTAGAATCTTACCTTGTCTTACAAATTTACAAATTGTAGTTGCTGTCAATGCTGACTTACTTAAGAATGGGAAAATATTTTCATGCAATTCAAATATTTTTAACTCACATCTTAGGAATTGTATCCATCAGGTACTATCAGCTATCCATTAGATTTAAATCAGCTCACTGCAAGTAATTCACCTATAGCACATGTGTGTTACCTTGCAACACTCACCAGATGACATTAAACAATTAAAATTGATATACAAGTTTAAGTGCAAAGGAAAATATTTTCTGCTGCCTATATGTTATACATTTGGAGACTGTATTGACCCTTAAAAGGAAAAATAATATTTTTTTATCAATGGTATATAATGCAGTAGTTAAGACTTGTACTGTATAATTTTAAAAAGACTAAATATGCCTATAACAAGTAATGTACTTTAGCTTCTGGGTAAATGGCCCCATCTTGATTAGGTTTTTCATCCATTTGCCCTGTTCTTTTGAGCAAATGCAGAGGTGGCTCCATGTTTTGCTTGGGAATATAAAATATGCTTTACTATGCAAACATTATGTTTAGTTCTCTTTTCAGTAGTTGTAGTAGGAGTGGTACCAGAAGTTTGGGTTGCTATTTTCTTAACAGTACTAACAAATCATGTCTGTAGTATACATACCAATTTAAATACTTTTTCTGAAACTGAAGGGTGAAAATGTCTATTTTCTCCTGTTTCTTAAGTGCTGAAACTGCATTGATGGTATTGTTATTCTTCATACAACTAAGTGTAGCACAAAGATGCGAAAGAGATTCTAGAGCTCAAAAAACCGTGCACAGATTATACTTCTTTCTCTTACATCATTTTCACTGTACTTTGTTGAAAAGAATTTTTTTTTTTAAAGTCAAAATAAACTTAAAATTTAATATTCAATTCTAAACTCTGTTCTCAATACTGCCTTGTTAATTTAAGTTTATATTTCTTCCAATTCCATGTCCTAGATGTCTACAATTTTCCAAATTGATGTCTGCAGGTACCTGAAAATTATAAAAAAGCATAAAATTTCATCTTTTTCCTTTTCCTGATTTACAATTATTTTATATCAATCATCAGATACTTTTTTTAGTTGTTTGCTCTGTTTTATTCTTCATCATTTGCTTCAAATCATTGCTTTCTAGATTTCTTAGTTTTTAAGCAATTTTTTTCTTTTGATGGGAGTGCACAAGTGCCACACTTCCGATTGTTAGCTGTCAAGCACTTAGTCAATGAACTTCAGATTCATTTTCCTATAAGGGGAATTTTCACATATTCATGCAAATCAAACATCATAATTCATAAACTATAAAATATAATATAATTGTTCTTGCAACTTGTAACCCATGATTTGCTCTAGAGAATGGTCTAGAATAATCAATATATATTACTAAAAGTTTCACTTTAATGAACTTAAATATCTTATCTACTTTTTAAACAATTATTTTTTCTCAAGTAATCAAATTCCGACTTTGTAGTTCTACAGTGCCTTTATCGTAGTTCATTCTCTAGAACACTTTTGTGATTAATTTACAAAAAAGAATATCAAAATACATCAACTTGTTGATGGGATGCCTGAAGTAAAAACCTACATTTTGGCCAATTAATTATAAACAAATCGAGTTTTTTTAACTATTTGATCTCTAAGAGCCTATAAAAAGTGTACAAGGAATTAAAAAATAGAAGTAATAAACTTGATATTATTTCCTCACATAGACAGTTGCTTTAATTACATAAGTTTCTGAAGAGGTCCAATTTATTTTGATAAAACATTTGAAGATAAAAATGAAATTACTTCTTAGTTCATGCTGAGTGTTTTAGGCTCAATCTACTGGACCTTTCTTTCCTGCCTTACAATAATTTTGTATCAATCATCAGCCACATTAACTTGTTATTAATTTTTCTTCAGATACTTCCCGCGTACGCAAGGAAGGAGAAGTGGATGGCCAAGACTACCATTTCATCTCAAGAGCGCAATTTGAGACGGACATCTTGGCTAGAAGGTTTGTTGAGCATGGTGAATATGAGAAGGCATACTATGGAACATCGTTGGATGCGATTCGAAGCGTGGTACTTGCAGGCAAGATCTGTGTGCTCAATCTCCATCCGCAGTCTCTCAAGATCCTTCGCTCTTCAGATTTAAAGCCGTATGTGGTTTTCGTGGCACCACCATCACTTGAAAAGTTAAGGCAGAAGAAGATCAAAAATGGAGAAGCATTCAAGGTAAATGTTCATTATTCATTTATTTATGGGAATATTCCTTGTTTTAGTAAGTAATATACATCAGAGTCAATGACAAATTTGGAATCATGAGATGTGCTCTCATGATCTATAATGTAAAATAAATAAATAAATATTAAATAGATAATCGTACAAGTAAGCTTTAAATATAAAATATCAACAAACTTCTTGGGGAAAACTAATACAAAATGATGATGATCATCATCATGATCTGAAAGATGAAAGGTCAGTTTCTGGTTAAGCAGTAGACCTGAAATATTTCAGTCTTTCAGGTTTGTCTGCATCGTCTACTTCTTTCTTGCTTTTCCTATATTTCTCTGTCCAATTGGTTTATGATACACAAAACGATTAAGCACAAAAGGGTTTAAACATTGTTTAAATGTGTACATAGAATGTGCAGGAGTTAAAAAAAGATAGAAATAAAGTAGTGGGAATTCCTGGCTTACCAAAACTGATCCTCTTCTTAGTTTTATAAAATTCTTAATTTGGTTATTGTATTGAATATTAAACTTGACAACGATTGCAATTCTTAATACAATGAGCCATTTTTGAGAAATTGTTTACATTTGTGGTGACATTTGGAAAATTGTCACAATTTCTATCAACATTACTGAACAACTACTCATGTTTTTTTAAATTGTACTTGACATAATTTATAGATCTAAAATTGATTTTGAGATAATATGCAAAGAAATTTTGCAAATTATTAAATTGCCAGAAAGAATTTTGTTTACATGAGTATTGGAGGTATAGGACAAAAAAAGAAGAGAACTTTTGCAATTTTCAAAATTTGAGAGGTGTTAATGAAAATCACACCATTGTCATTCCTATATATGCATATTCTTCTGATTGAGCAACCAATTTAAAGAAAATATGTGCAACAATTTTTCAGAAAATGTTGGAAAAGACCCGAAGAATGTAAAAGTACACCTAAAAATTCAAATATCTTAATGGCACTCAGAATGGCCTTATTATATTTTACTCGTGGATTTGTTTTCCAAGTTTAAGCTCAAAAGCTTCCCTGACTGAATTATATATGACATATCCATCCATCCATTGATACAGACATATAAAAGGTTTAAAATATATCATTTTGGAGATTTTATCTCATCTCATCACCTTTACAGTTAATTTTTACATGCATGCATTTTTACATACACATGCATACATACACACAACTTATATAACTCTATACATTTTTAAACTTTTCAACACAGTACACTTGCATATAAGTCCATAGTGGATTTAAATAACATATTACACTAAAAGAATAATATTTGAAGTTTTGTAAAATGCTAATAAATCAATTCCACAAAAAAAGGTGTGTTAGCCCCAAATTCTACTGAGCTCTTCAATTGTTAGGTTGGTGACACATATCTAAAAATAAAGCATGCTTGCTGCATAAATTTCCTGTAAGGAAAATCTAACTAAGTATGGTAAAAATTCTGACACTGAAAATGTTATTGGAAATGACAATTACAATTCACCAATGTACAAAAAGCCAGCTTAAATTGCATACGGTTTAAAATGATAGATTTAATTTCATTATATGTAACCCACCACTTTGGCAATGTCTTCCAAATTTGTCTCTAATCTAAGTTATCATATGACAAATGAAACAACTCTTCTAGGTCTTTTGTTCCATCCTGATCATTTCATAAAAATATTTTTGTGAAAACAAGGTCTAAAATACACCATTTTGGTGATATTAGCAAAAAACATCATCTTTATAGTAAATTTTTACCGAGAATAATTTTTTTTAGATCAATAAACTCTTGACTTTCTATTCAATTTTATTTGACACTAATTTTTTGTGACAACAAATACTTCTCAATACATTTGAGCATTATGTCTTCAATGGACAATTCAATTAACTATATTAGAAGCTTCAAAATCTGCTCTTTCTAATGTGATAAATTTGAAAGCATTTCTAGGAGGTATATTTCTTTAAAAGGAGGTTTAAAATACCCTACTTTTGGGGCTTTTTTCCAAAATCATTAATTTTAAAATTAATTTTTGAAGAAATGGTAAGAGCTACACAATTGAAATTATGCTTTCAGAAGTAATGTAATGCTGATATGTTATGGATTAAATAACACTATGAGCTTTCCTTCTTCTTCTTCTTCTTCTTTTTCTTCTGCAACATCAAGGATTAGGCCTGAACGCCTGTTCTGTCGCCTTCAACGTTATTAGCATCAATCCACAGAGTTCATGGGCTTTTCTTACTCAAATATTAAGAAAGCTATTCAATGTTAGTCTGGATTTTTTAAACATTTTTTTCTGTGACTTTGTTGCAATGTGCCTATGGCGTGTTAACAAAATTGATATTAGTGTAATCACATAGAGAGAAAAAAATTGTACAAGAAAGCTTAGTTTTATTTGTTCAACTATAACGGAAGGGAATATTGTTTCTCAAATTTGCAAAAATCTTGTAGTTGTTCTGTACAATGCCCCTACATGGGGTTAAACAAACAACTATATCTCAAAAAGTATTTTACCTATGAAGTTACAACTTCAAAAAAGTTTTTTTGTGACATGTGGAACATGGCAGGCAAAATTTCATCATAATCTAATACGATAATGCAAGGCACTTCTCCAAAATTAGACCACTTAACATGGAATAAATATAGGAAGATTAACCGGCCTCCACATTCTATTGTGTTTTCTTCTATGTTTATTCTTCCACTTCAGCTTAATGTTCTAATTAATTAAATCTCACTCATTAAAATCTCTCTTCTAAAAGAAGTGATATTTGCTCATCAGAAAGTATGTTTTCTAATGATATTATGTGATTGTCCATTTTAATACACATACTTAATATTATGAATATTAAGTATGCGATAAAAGAGGGGAAAATTTAACTTGAACTTAACTAAAACTTAAAAAGGGGCATGGAAAACCCTTCTTATTTGCCCTTTACAGCAGGAAAATAAACCAACTGTGTCCAAAAGAACTGTTTGTGTAAATACGGATTAAAAAACTTATTTAGGAATTGAACACAAAGACCAACTATATGACAATAAAGTTTTAAATATTTATCCATTTTACAGCCATAAAGATTTTTAAATCTCCACTGTCAAGTTTTAGTTAAGTTCAAGTTAAATTTTTCTCTCTTTTATTGCACCTGTACATTTCACGTTTTTTGGACAATGAATCATTCATGATTGTAATTATTTTGGTTGAGAATAGAATATTCATACATGCAGTTTCTAAGGACACTGCATGTTCTTTTGGCATCAAAAAGTGGTTAAATATCTTTCTATGTGAATTGCAATTTCACTATATAAAATTCAATTTGATATGGTTCAATGAATGACAATAAATTCTACTACCCGGTACCCGGTTATCTTTAATTGAAAGAAAATATCTTAATAAGTGATACAATAATATATGAAATACAATAAAAACATAAAATACAATAAAAATATAAAATCAGTGTCTTCCTGAAATAGTGTCCATTCTGTCAGACAGAATCAATTTATAGAAAGTTTCCAATAATAAAATTAGTTGTTTGACTTATATTGTGCATTTACAGGAAGATGAACTGAAGGACATCATTGAGAAGGCTCGTGAAATGGAAGACAAGTATGGGCACTTCTTTGACATGATCATCATCAACAACGACACAGAGCGTGCATATAGACAGTTGTTGGATGAAATCAACAGTTTGGAGAGGGAACCTCAATGGGTTCCATCTGCCTGGGTCAAGACCACATAGGTGAGAGCGCATTGAGAAAAATGTGTGTGCATTTGATTCTATGTGTGTGTGTGGCTGTGAGAGAGTGTGATTATGTGTGTGTGTGACTGTGCATGTGTGGTTGTGTGCGAGTGTGTTTGTGTAAGTGGTTGTGTGTATGTAAGTGTTGTTGTGTGGAATGGTTGTGTGTGTATGTGCTTGGGTGTGTGTGCAAGGTTGTGTGTAAATGTGTGGGTATGTGTATAGGTGTGTGGGTGGGTGTATACAGTGGTTGTATGTGGTTTTTTGTTGTGTGTGATTCTGCATGTGTACATGCAGGAATGCAATTTTTTTAACTAATTTTTTTAAGCCACTAGGTAGCTCATACTACCCAATGTGTGAAATTTTTACTCAATGAAACCTAACCTCCCCGTCTACATGTCCCTGCAGAACTGCTTATAGACATTACATTGCAGAGAGTGGACTCAGTCACATGACTATCTATTTTACCATGGTAGTTGTCAAGTGGAATAAGATGTCCCTAATTTCTTTCTCCACACAATTTCTTTCTCTAATTCCAGCAGTATTTCTTGGGCAGAATCACACAACACCTCCAATTGCTTTCAGAAGCAAGCATACATGCAACTACGCTTTCTATGCTTCATTTGGCCTATGCCAAGCATCTCAATGATGATTCATCATAGAGGGTCGAAACATGGGAATTGAGAAAGCATGTGTTCTCATCAGGAGTTTTTCAAATAGGACAATTTGGGTCATTAGACTTGTAAGTGTAGTGCATATTTTTATTGCGAGTGGTGGCGGTGATCTTCCCCCACTGGATGGAAAGATCAGGGGCTGACCTACCTTCCCCAGTCAGGTGTCTCCCACCAGCAGAGCACCGCCCCAGCTGGGACAAGCTCTTAGTGCCTGACTGGTCTCCCAGCATGTGTAGCGGTGTAGCACATGTAAGTGTAGGTAAGTAAGGGATGAGGATAGGACAAGGAAAGACCACATACTGTCTGTGGCCTATTTGTTAGGGTACTGTTCTGGCATTCGTCTGGTCTTGATCGGAGAAATCACAGAAAACTACCGATCAGAGCAGTTGGTTGCTAGAATTCTTCTCCAGACAGCAGCTGACCTCAACCTAGCAATTTAACCAGTGTTGAAAATCCTGCCACTATTGGGACATGAACCCTTTGCCCTCCCTGACAGAGGCACTGCACTCGCATCAATTGATACCCTGAGCCATCTAGTGTGTGTGGGTGGGTGTGTTTGAGGGGGGACAGGCATGTGCGGGTGTTCGTGTCTGGAAATGTGTGAATGTTAGTGCCACTTATGTGTTTGTATTCATTTGTTTGAGCATGTACATGTATGAGTGTGTATGTGTGCATATGGAGGCAGGGGTGAATGAATGATGAGGGGAAGTATAATGAGGGAATACTGGATAGAATTTGTATATTCAAAGAGACACCAAATTATTTTTTTTTAATTTCTTTAGTAAAAGTAATTAGATGCCAGCAAATAGTATATATTCAATCTACTGAATTATGAAAATAAAAGTACCATTACAAAGCTTTGACTTCTTCATTTAAATTAATATTCTAATTAATTTGTATTATGAATTGAAAAAGAATTGTAACATTCTAAGAGTAAATATAAACTATTGGCTTGCAGCAACATTATAAAAGTTTTTATAAAACCAATTAAAGAAATATAACAAAAAGAAATGAAATCTACTTACAAGACAGTTTTCAATTGGCAGCATCACAGCAATCAAAGCCAAATCAATGCTTTGATTATTTGTTAGGAATGTGAATAATAGTCATCTTATTATTATTCTGTTATTAAATGTTGTGCTCTATTTCTTAATTAATAAAATTACTTAGAAATATTGCATTACTTAGAAATTACTTATCATGTTCATTGAAATTAATAGGTACTTTTTTTTTTTTTTTTTTTTCAAATTCAAATTATTATAAAAAAGTCTCAAGTCTTGTTGAATTTTAAATGCAATATTCCAGTCTATAAACTTCAGTTGCCCAGGTCTTAAATTAAAACAAACAGACAAACAAAAATGACTCAAAGAAACTGCTGATGATGACCAATTTGTAAAAATATTTTTTTGTTTTTAAAACGTAAATTAATTAATTCCTACAGAAAATTATATTACACAAATTTGTTTTTCATATATGTATTTTAAAAATTATCATATTTATTTGATTATTTATGAGTGCATTTTCATATTAATTTGTGTCCTTTGTCATTCTCTGTTTAACCATTGAACTCGATTACCCATGATTGCAGTGCCATCTTATTCCGCAAATAATTAATAGTTTTCTGCAAATCTTTTCATTCTCACATTAGTAGCAATAACTCATTATCTAGTAACATCCCACCAACAATGGTGGCTCAGGGCATCACCTAATGTCACTGCCATGTCTCTGACCAGGGGTTCAAGTCCCCATGATGAAATAGAATTTTCAACGCTAGCTAGTCTGCCATGACGGGTTCAGCCACTGTCTGGAGGAGAATTCAAGCAGCCCGCTGCTCTAATTGGTAGTCCGATCAACACCAGGGGAATGCCGGAGCAGTACCCTTACAAACAAGCCACGGACCATATGCAATCTTACTTTACTCTTCGTTGTTCTCTCCTCCCCCCTTACTTACACACACTTACACTCCCATTTACTAACCTACCACAGTTGTTGGGAGACCAGTTGAGAGTTTAGAGCTTGTCCTGGCTTTGGGTGTGCCATGCTGCTGGGAGGCAGCTGGATGAGATATATCCCCTTCCCCACGTAAACGCAGGTTGGAGCCGGATCTTGCCATCTAGCAGGGGAAAAATCAGTGTCGTCTCCCACGATCAAAAACATACACTACATTTACGTGACTAATGATCTTAACAGCTGATGCACCCAGAATCACTTATTGATTTAATCGTTTTCATTGATTTATATTTACCAGTTTGTCTTCTAATAAATCCAAGCTTTTTCAGTGAAGCGTTGACGATGTAATCAATGTGTTTATTAAAAGACATTTTGGTATCCATGATTACTCCCAGATCTTTAATGTGTGGAACAGATTCAATTATTGTATTTTGAATACTATAATCTACTGTTACTTCAGTTACTACTGTTACTTATCAATCAAACTAGTAACATCCAGTTTTAATAATTTGATAATTTTATGTTCACAGGGGTAATGAGCTTCATGCAAGAGGCCCAGGCTGAAACTTGATCAAACAATCATTGTAAAGAGTCTTCTGATTTCCAAATAATTTTTATACTGCACTCAACTTCGGAAGAGAGTGAGTGATGATGCAATAAGTTAAATGTCTCATCATTTATACAAGTCTATCGTTGAATCACGTGTGTTCGTATTCAGCAGCAGGAAACATGCACATACTAATACAAACATTGCCTGTTGCTGAACCAGTGTTGTTAACAAAACTTTCTTTTTTTTAAGAATAGTGTTCTTGTACATTGTGTTTCATTGAAAGGTAGTGACGTGTGGTGCTTTGAGATTGTAAATACATTCACAGGGGAAAGTGAAAGGAGTGATTTCCTGTTGGTGTACAAAGACCTCTGATGTTAAGAGCAGTGTGAGAAGATATTGATCACAAGCTTCATGGAGTTGAGTCATGATCTTTGGTAAAATTGTTTGACATGAAGTGATATAATTGATACTGGAAAGCGTTGATCAGAGAAAGAGTCATGGGTTGGGACTTGTGATTTTGTTGTCTTATAATTATAATTATTATAAGTATTATAGTTATTATAAGTATTATTATTATTATTACTATTACTATTATTTTTTATTAGAGTATCTGAAAATAGATTTATTTGTTGATTTATAAAGCAAAAGGTGCTTGATAATTCAGTTTTGGTTGCAATATGTTAATATATTAATATATATATTTGTCAATCATTCTCTTAATTTTAAGCATTAATCATGAGTTTATGTTTCTTTCTAAGTGTATTTTCAACTGAACATTTGTCTACTTTCTGTTACACAAATTTATTGTCTATTTTTCTTTCTTTCTTTTTTTCTTATAGAAATGCTAAAATGTGCTTGATATTTTATTCTAAAATTATAATATAGGAAACATATAGGTGCTTATTATCACTATACTATGTATTGAACTTCTTGAAATATGGTGCCACAAACCTTGAAACAATTATCATTGTGTGTCCAGTATTTTTTTGAAATATCAAACAAATATCACAAGTCTTCTGTTCAAACACTCTCCTAATGTCGATGTGCCAAATTTTCTAAAAATATGCAGTTATAATTGGTGATGATTAAATGCTCAAACAATTATCTTTATTGCTGTCTCTAGAGAGATGTAACAGATGATCTTTTTTTTGGTGATATTTAAATATCATTTCTAAAATTTGCTTTTGTAAAGTGTTTTCTTGATAAAATCTGTGTGGATCATTTTTGAGAAAATTAACTTAAATCATAAAATACATCAATTCAGTTGCAAAATTCCACGATTCTGAAGTATCTATTGAAAGAATGTACTAAATGCTCATTTAATTTTTTCTTATTAAAAATAGTCACATATCCTATAAAATTTTTGGAAATACTTTATTGAGGTAAATGACTTACACAGATTTTACTAAGCATAATATGAACTTTTTTTTACTCAATTATAACAAAAACAACACCTAAATTTAAGTTAAAATAAAATGTGTATAAACATTGCAAGGTAAATATAATTTACTTATATTTGCAATTATAAATCAAGAAACTAGGAACCTGTTTATAATGTTTCTTAATGCTTCCTAAGTTTCAGACGCTAAAAAGAAAAAAAATGTAATGTGGGGACTTTGTGTGGACATTTCAATACATACCCAAAATTTTCTTCCAAACTGACTGCTCAAAACACTAGAACAATATCAGTTTTCCTAGTCAGCATGAAGAGTGCAAGGAGGAGACTCACCTCTAGATATGGAGGCATGGTGGGGCTATGTATGAGAAACGTTGGCAGTTAATCGAACACACATAGCTCCTGCAATATCATGCAGTGATTGAAGAAACTTATCTTAGCTTTTTCGGCCAATAATGGCATGCATACACATAATTGATCAATGCCATCTACACTTTGGTGTGTTTAAGTGTAGATGGTGTTGACTTGACACATCAACTTAGTAGCCATTGGTTGAAAAGCATTGAAAGATTCTCCCGTTCACAGTGTGATGTCACTGAAGATAAATGTGGCCAATTAGCTGCCATCACTTTTCGTACTACTCCTACCATCGAAATTGAGTCTCTTTCTTACAGACTTCATGCTAATCAGTAAAGTATGGCTTCCAAGGGTGACAGTGATCCTCATCCATGAAGTATTTTTTTTTTACTTCATTTGGAGTTTTCAGCATTATCTTTCTACAAACCCACACAAAGTTTCCAGATTTCTGAAAAAAGTCAGTGATCTCTTTCTATCAATGACAGTGACAAAGATTTAAGACTATGTGCTTATCTTGGATTAGGTAATCGAATTTAGAGCACAATTAATGCAGTTAATCATTCATGGCAAGACTTGGGTTTATAAATGGACGATGACAATTATAGCACTGAAAAATCATTATTTATGTAGGCAGAATTGCTGGATTTCTCAAATTTGAGAAAAATGAATTGAAAAATTAAAGATTTGTTCCCTGTATCCCTTTCACTACTTTATCATCTAGATTTCCATAGACAGTTCACAGGAAGCCCTTTGCTTCCACGAAAAAATGGAAAAAAAATTGCAAAGTGATGAAGCAAAGTTTGAAATAATAACTTTGTCCTCAAAGTAATTGAATTGATGAAATACTTCATATTCAAAAATATTTGCATTTGTTTCTTAGGCTTCTGTTTAAATTTATACGTTTTGAAAAAATAGACATTTGTCTTGAATTTTCAGTGTGAAAAAAAGAGTTGTCAGATAAAACAGTACTGTTCCCTATCTTGTCAATTTTGAGTAGTTTAATATTTACAAAAGAATGCGTGTTTTCACTTGTTTTCATACAATAGATGGCTGCAGGCTGTTTTGAAATAGCTTTCAGTAATTTTTTAAATTTCCATTTAAAAGGATGTGAAATTGTAATGCCATGTCCTTTAATATTGCTTTTCATATAGAAATTCAGATGTATAAATCATTTGCTTTACAATTGCAGAGTTATCTTGATTTGTGCGTTTACATGAAGAGAAAATTGACCTCTGCATGCTTCAAGAGGTTTATAAATTTTATTCTGAAAGAGGATACTGGAACTTTAAGCAGTGCCATAAATTACTATAATCTTATTTCAGATCTTGTCTTTAAAAGTGATCAGTAATAAAATTTACCTTGTAATCATAGCACACAAGCATCTTGTGTAGCATTAAAATGAACCCTGACCACTCAGGTGTATTAAAATCATTATGGTTCTTATAAAGAGGAGGTACAATTCCAAAATCCATTATAAATTGAGGTCTGAAACTAAATGAATGATATAAAATTGGAAGTTTAAAAACTGATTTTGATTGTGAACAAGTAGTTATAAGATCTTTACTTTTCTTTCTATACTTGTTCTTTTTTAATCAAATATTTTCTTTCTCCTATAACAAAGTACTTGATGTTTAGCAGAGAAGTTTTGCAAAAATTTAGAGTGATGGAGTTATAAGAACAATGTGAACCTTTTAATAATTCAAATGTTGATCAAAAACTCGTAAAACCGAGTCCCAAATCCCCAGCAAGCTCACAAGAAAACTTTGTTGATGACCAAGCTTCATTCTTTTTTTAAAACACACAAATCTAACAAATAACTAACTTATTTGTAACAAAAAATTGTTTGTTTCAATCAAAGTGTTTTTAGATAAAATGTACAGTTATTTTTATTAATAATATAATACTCCGTAACATAGCCTTCCAAATGATTGTATTGTTATTACAATTTAATTAATTTCTATTTTCTAGGGATAAAACACTTTTTCAAAACAAAAATAAAAAAAGAAACTGCTCAAAAAAATTTCGCTGGACTCGGGACGCCGCTTGATGTGAATGATAATGTATTTTAACCCCGACAAACAAAACCTGTGTATATAGACTAATAACTGTTTTTATTGAGCATGGAACTCTTGAGTGAGTTATCACTCTTTATACATAAATATTATATATACAGAGGTCTGGCTTCCTCTAGTTGTACTTACGGAAAAAACCATGTATATTTCTGTTGTGAATTCTTTAGTAAACGGTACCACTGTGTAACCTGATCTTGTTATTTTAACATATCCTTCCCTTTCCTTAAAACTGCACATTGTTATAATAAGACTGTTGTCAACCAGTTGTAAATATATCGCTCTGTTTTGATGTGCATAAAATTATTAATGCAAATAGATAATCTCCCTCTGAAAAATTATGAAAGCAAACCTCTACAATATAAAGTAGATTTGTGATTCTTTTTTTTTCCCCTGAAATTACTTGGCAGTTTTTTAATAGTGATAAAAGATCGACTTTTGATGAAAAACTTTTTCACCGAAGATACATATGTGTCATTTAGATAACATATTTGTATTTTACAGAAACGATTCAACAAAAAGATAGTGTGGCATTGAGTGACAAAAAGGGACAGTTATGTAAACAATACATTAAAAGTGATAATTTTTTTAAAAAAATTAATATATACACACACATGCACACATAAAAGCTCATGACACAATTTTAAGCATATTTTGTCAAATAAACAACTAGGATATTCCAAATGGTTGATCTGCAATCAGCACTCAAAAGTTGGTTTGAAAAAATTATTTATAGGCAAATATTTGCATTGCAGAACAATAAAAACACTCCAAAAACATGTCAATTGTTTATTATTTACAAGGGAAATGATCATATTTGTTCAGAAAGAAAAATTAACCAAGAATTAAAAAAGGAGTCGATTTGTGAAAATTGGGTGCCATTTGATTGCTGTGTTAATTTTTCTTTCTGAACTAATATATTCATTTCTTTTGTAAATAATAAACAATAATAAACAGTGGAACATTTTTGAGCTTCTACAATGCAATTTTTTGCCTATCAATCGTTTTTTGAAACCAGCATTTGAGTGCTAATAACAGCTTAGCCATTTTGAATATCCAAGTAGATTATTAGACAAAATATGCTTAAAATGGTCTTAAGAGCTTATATCCAAAGTTTTGATGTTTCCTCCCTGGACCTTGGTATATATCAACAGCATTAGTTGACGTACTTGGATCCTGCGTAATCTTATTAGCAATATTTGTTTTCTTTTTAATAGTTTTTTTGATCGTTTTTGTCAAAAACCCAAAAGTTTTTTATGAAAATGAACTCAAATGTGCGAATTTTTGAAATCCTCTAACATTTTCTCAAAAACAACTCCATATTTTGTAATAAAAATTTGCGTATGAGACCATGTTTTACACTTCTTTAATATTCTTTAAATCACATTTAAAATCTTCTATTAGAGAATTGAAATACTGAGAAAATGTGAAAAAATTATAGATTATACATCAAAGGAGAGAAAGGAATGATTTTTTCACAAGGAGAATGTTTGAAACCGGAGGGTTACAATTACATTAAGGGAAAATCAAGCATTCTCTCCTGAGGCATATATTTTATTTTTTCCATAACCACAATGTATGTGAAAGTATCACTGTAAAAGTATTCAATCATGCCATTTAGAATTTGTGGTATGTGAACAAGATTTTGAATTTTTCAACTTTCAAAAATTAGAATATTTAACGAACATGAGACCTAAACTCTTCTCTTAAGCTTCCGCTCTCCGAGATCAAGATTAATAAAAAAATAGTTGCCGGTTTTTTAGAAAAAAAAATGTTTAAACAAAATAATAATTGCCCATATTTCACGCAAAAATACCAAAGAAACAAATTTTCGAAAGGTTGTACATGATCTTATTTCTAAATCTATCTTTAGGGAACAGATTTCATTAAGGGAACAAATCTCTATCTTTAATATTTTGGTTGTAGGAAGACTCCAAAAACAAACTCTTTGGCAATTTTCGAAAAATCTGGATTTTTGTCAACGGACATACACCTGCACCATTCTCTTAAACGTCCTTTACAGTAACCAACAACAAAATTTAATCAAAATCGTTGAAACCATTTTTTAAAAACATTTTGAAAATGTCCCAGGAACTTCATGCCGCTGCATTGCAATGAAGCAAAATCAAAATATCGGTGTCAAATTCAAAGGCCGCGATATCAATCAGATCGATTGGGGAATTATTAATTTTGAAGAAAGTCAGTTAAACCAGATATATACTCTTTGTGTTAAACAGTTTAGCCGCTAGCGTCAGTCACACGGACGGACCGATTGACCAGAGGCATAACGTTCGGCCGTAACGTTATATACTCTCTGCCACACACAAAAGACATTTGGCAAATTAGTCTAATTTTAGGTTTGAAAGTACAATAGGCACAAATATGCATTAATGTTGAAATATGCTCTTCTAGGCGACATAAAATTGAGAGGTTTGAGTTTAAATAATCCTAAAATGTGAATTGTACGCGCACGTTTTCTTGAGCCCCTTCATACCAACCCCCACTCCTTTATTAACATTAGTTGAATTCAGAATAAATGATAGCCTCAGCCCTTGTTGAAAAAACCTGAAAACCAGAAATTGCTTTGCTCCCGTCTAATAGAAAATAGTTTGCATCGAAAAACGAGCTACAGTTTTCATATAATAGTCCTGTCAATAAATAATCAAAACCCCTCACATCTAGCGAAATGGCTCAAGAAAACGTGCGGGGATAATATATAAAGCATGATTTAGTAGAAGACACTCAAGATAACTTGTTTGTTACATAAATATCCGTAAAATACTCATGAATATGTTAATCTACGGTTATGTACTATGGTTATTTTCACGTGATTACAAATATGTTTCCCTAAGCTGATAAAAATAGTAATAGTAGCATTACACATTAGTTTATTATAATATTAAGTTTCCCTAAGGTAATGAAAACAGTAATAGCATCACAGAATATGCATACTGTGGTCGCATGGTGCAGAACGGCATTACTTGTTCGCGGGCTGGCATCATAGACAAACTAAGAGTGCACCAATATACTCTTTGGAGTGCACTGTGATTGGCATGAAGACAAAAGATGAGTGCAATGCGTTACGTCTCCCAAGTGGTGTACGCAACGAGCGAGTACGATGGATGTACAAAATAATATATTAATATCTTACACCGTGGTCCTCCAATATGTAAAGATTATCCGATCGTTCCTATCCTATACTAATATAAATGTATTGACTTCTGATACATCAACTGGTCGCGGTTATTTAATCCACAAATTTTGCTATAATTAAAATGTTTGGTATTGAAGCTCCCAATTGGATAACATGTCACAGCTGATAATCCGGCAAAAGTCATTCTACTTAAATCTGAGTATAACTAAGCGGACTGATGAAGTTGGAGCTACTTTGAACGTTGTCTTTAATTGTGTAGGAACAGAGCATTAGAAAATTTCTTGATAACATGGACGAAATAGAATTATTGTCTGAGTGCGTGATTAAATTAGAAAATGTGAGTTTTACTATTTAAACTAGTATACACATTATTTTTCTTGAAATTATATTTTATGAATCACAACAGAACCAAAATTTTGTTCTAAGGTTTCCAAATTTAAACTCATTATAAAAAACATTTTAAAATTATTATGATTGTATGTTTTTTTGTTAAGAAAAAGAGAACTATTATTTACTGTCATAAGCTAGGAAGCAAAGAAAATATACTGATTAGGAGTTAAATAATTTTCTTGCTATTACAATGACTAGGCTTAATATGTTTAAAAAAAATGTAGATCATATTCAAAACTAAAAGTTGGAGCAGTTTTCTAAAAATATTTTGCTTATTGTCAGGTACAACAAGAACCTTACGATCATGCTGAAGAGGAATCATATCTGTTCACGGTGAGTTGTTTCTTTATTTTCTTTACAGTCAGTAAGTTAAAGAAGTTGAGTTTGTTTTCAGATGTAGCCCAAGAATTTGAGGATGACATGACATAAGTTCAGGTATAACCCACTCATAAGCTTTTGTGTCATAGTACTCTAGAGATAAATAACATTAATCTTCAAATGAATCAGTGATGTACAAATAACCATTATAGTAGTGGTTGATTTGACACATTCAAACAAAACTGTGCTCTTTATAGTAAGCAGTACTTCTCTGAGTATGAAGTAGGGTGTTTCAATAGAATAGATGAAAAAATTGGGAGATTACTAGTATCAGTGAGACAGGCTGATAGTTACTTAGTATCTTGGTGTCACCCTTTTTGTGTTTGGGAATTACTGTAGATAATTGCTCTTTTCTTGTGTGTGTGTGCTTTTTCTTTTTTTTTTAAATCTTTTCAACTAATAGACTGAAAATAGAATTTAGTACTTTTTTGAATTCGCATACCATCTCTGCAGAACTACCACCTGCCCTAGTAGCCAAACTTCGTAACTAAGCTCTGCGAAGTCACAGATGTTCAGTAGCTCGAGTCATAACAGGTTCCTTGATGAGTGTCCGTCTAAGAACACCATGAGCCCTTGGCCGATAGGGATAAAAGGCAATTACTCGTTTTGACTTGGCCTATTACCGGCTTCATGTATGTTCAAGGAGAATTACTCCTCACATCTAACACCAAATGCTGTATGCCTTGGATGCTATTTAGTAACTAACAGAAAAAAGAAGAAGAATTCTGATGTATTTATTTATTGTAATGATAAAATAATGTCAATAGATTGAAAGGAATAATGTGTGAAATTATCCAGAAGAGTTCAGCTGAGACCTTAGGTTTCGCCTATTTAATAAAAAACATTTGTTTTCTGAACTTGAAACCAGTATATGCAACAACTTTCGTTTGTCTTATTTGCTTCTTGTATTCTTTGGTTCATTTTACAGTCTTATTAAACTGCTTAATGATAAGTGAAACAGTAGGCATCAAACACAGCTTTTATACTAAGAGAAAAACAATTTAAAAAGTTCCTCAAATAATTTATATAATAAAAAAAGCCATCATCATGGATAAAACTTTATTAACAATGGTTGAAAATCCTTACAAAATATATATATATATATAATCTCTGTTCAATTGTTAAATGAAAGATCTTGAATTGTTTGTTAGGAAATATAAAACAATAAGTAGGCTCATCAAATGGCAAAATGAAAACTTATCAAAGTAAAAGTTGTCATTAATATCATACAGAATGACCATGTCATAATCTCTCATAAAATGTATGAAAAAATAAAAAATATCATTCAACAATTTACACTATTTGTACTCAAATTGACTCAAGTGAAACATGTCAATTGTTCATGGGTCAAGGTAGATAGTAAATGAGATTGTCCATATGGAATAAGTTTGATTGTGTGGTTAGGGGAGAGGAATGTAGGCAGTAGGTAGGGGATGGGAGGAGGTAAGGGTTGAAGATATGGAAAGGAATTCATATGGGTTAGGCAATAGAAGAATCCATGTGTATTATAACTAGAACGTTGACATATGGCAAAATGCTTTTTTGTTATTGTTACTATTTCATAAGTTATCTTAATAAGAATCATTTAATTCTACTTCTGGAATTGTTTTAAGATTTTTAATTTGCCATTTTTGCTTTGTTGCTGACATAGTTATTCTGCTTTTTTCTTCTCTTGACAACTGTCCTGTCTCGAGCAAGTTGGACTTGTAAGCCTGGACAAAACAAAGGCAAAGTCATGTTTTGTTTTTCTCAGGAAGGCGAGGTTGTGTTTAAAATCTCAATAGGAATAAAAGATGATATCAGATAAGATTTTTGACTTTTTAGCATTGATGCTGACTGTCTTCGATCACTCATAAGGAATCACATGTTTGTGTCTGCCTTTCAATCCTTTTGAGGACAGCTCTCTGTACATGACGTGTCCTTCTTATTGCTGGCAAAGAACAAATGTGGAGAACGTCTGGTTTCAGAAAAGTCTGGTTTCAAAGACACAGTATCACGGATAACATACATGTTGTCATTGGACCAGATGATTGTGTGAAGTTAAGATTACAAGGAAAATATTACTTCCTCACACATTAAGTGCTAAAGTAACTTTTAGCGTTAGGATCAAATTTTTTTACGTAATTTCTGTTAAACGTGGATTTTTATTGTTTATTTGCATTTTCAACCCTCTACTTTAAATAGAATAAATGCCTTTTTCAAATGCCTATTTCCATAAAATTAAATTCCTACCAGTTTTAGGTAAAATAAATGCCCAAAACTATAAGTACTGATTTCGTTTTTTGAAATTAGAGTAGATTCAGATTATTCTTGCCTTCCATTTGTACATTGTCAATCAGTTATATAAATAAACTGGACTACAAGTTAGTATTGGTTGTAAAATGAATTTTGATTTAAAAAGTTTAATGTGACTAGAGATAGTTTCTGACAATATTAATTGGTTTATTGATGTTAAAATTGTGTAGTTTTGGTTTCATTATTTTTTTTGTGTAAGATTCTGGTTTGCTCCATTCAATTACTCGTATCTTGTTTTACTTGTATACATACTTTCAATACAATAAGAGGAAATTAGTTTTTTCTCGATTTTGCACGTAATGGGAGGTGTTTTGAATTTTCGCATTTAGGCGAAAGTCTTTTTTCCCATGTAACTCCGAAATTATTAGATTTAGCGGATTGTGGTTTGCTTATTTCAATTTCTCGTATCTTGTTCTACTTGTATACTTACTTTAAATACAATAAGACGAAATTAGTTTTTTCTCGATTTTGTCACGTAATAGGGGGGTGTTTTGAACTTTTGCACTTAGCTGAATGTCTTATTTCCCATGTAACTCCGAAACTATTAGATTGAGCAGAATGTGGTTTGCACCATTCAATTTCTCGTATCTTATTTTACTTGTATACTTACTTCCAATACAATAAAACGAAATTAGCTTTTTCTTGATTTTGGCACGTAATGGCGGGGGAGGGGGTGTTTTGAACTTTCGCATTTTACCGAAAGTCTTATTTCCCATGTATCTCCGAAACTATTAGATTGAGCGGATTGCGGTTTGCTTAATTCAATTTCTCGTATCTTGTTCTACTTGTGTACTTATTTTCAATACAATAAGACGAAATTAGTTCTTTCTCGATTTTGGCACGTAATGAACGGGTGTTTTGACTTTCGCATTTAGCCGAAAGTCTTTTTTCCCATGTAACTCCGAAACTATTTGATCGAGCGGATTGTAATTTGCTCCATTCAATTTCTCGTATTTTGTTCTACTTGTATACTTACTTTAAATACAATAAGACGAAATTAGTTTCTTCTCGATTTTCTCACGTAATGGGAGGTGTTTTGAACTTTAGCATTTAGCCGAAAGTCTTATTTCCCATGTAACTCCGAAACTATTAGATTGAGCAGATTGTCGTTTACTCCATTCAATTTCTCGTATCTTGTTCTACTTGTATACTTACTTTCAATACAATAAGACGGAATTAGTTTTTTCTGTATTTTGCACGTAATGGGAGGTGTTTTGAACTTTAGCATTTAGCCGAAAATCTTATTTCCCATGTAACTCCGAAACTATTAGATTGAGCAGATTGTGGTTTACTCCATTCAATTTCTCGTATTTTGTTCTATATGCATACTTACTTTAAATACAATAAGACGAAATTATTTTTTCTCGATTTTGCACGTAATGGTAGGTGTTGTGAACTTTCGCATTTAGCCGAAAGTCTTTTTTTCCATGTGACTCCGAAATTTGTAGATTGAGCGGATTGTGGTTTGCTCTATTCAATTTCTCGTATCTTGTTCTACTTGTGTACTTATTTTCAATACAATAAGACGAAATTAGTTCTTTTTCGATTTTGGCACGTAATGAGGGGGTGTTTTGAACTTTCGCATTTAGCCGAAAGTCTTATTTCTCATGTAACTCCGAAAGTATTAGATTCAGCGGATTGTAATTTGCTCCATTCAATTTCTCGTATCTTGTTCTACTTGTGTACTTATTTTCAATACAATAAGACAAAATTAGTTCTTTCTCGATTTTGGCTCGTAATGAGGGGGTGTTTTGAACTTTCGCATTTAGCTGAAAATCTTATTTTCCATGTAACTCCGAAACTATTAGATTGAGCGGATTGTAAATTGCTCCATTCAATTTCTTGTATCTTGTTTTACTTGTATACTTACTTTCAATACAATAAGACGAAATTAGTTTCTTCTCGATTTTGGCACGTAATAGGCGGGTGTTTTGAACTTTCGCATTTAGCTGAAAGTCTCTTTTCCAATGTAACTTCGAAATTATTAGATTGAGCGGATTCTGGTTTCTCCAATCAATTTCTCGTATCTTGTTCTACTTGAGTACTTATTTTCAATACAATAAGACGAAATTAGTTCTTTCTCGATTTTGGCACGTATTGAGGGGGTGTTTTGAACTTTCGCATTTAGCCGAAAGTCTTATTTCCCATGTAACTCCGAAAGTATTAGATTGAGCGGATTGTAATTTGCTCCATTCAATTTCCTGTATTTTGTTCTACTTGTATACTTTAAATACAATAAGACGAAATTAGTTTTTTCTCGATATTGTCACGTAATAGGGGGGTGTTTTGAAATTTAGCATTTAGCCGAAAGTCTTATTTCCAATGTAACTTTGAAACTATTAGATATAGCAGATTGAGGTTTGCTCCATTCAATTTCTCGTATCTTGTTCTACTTGTATACTTACTTTCAATACAATAAGACGGAATTAGTTTTTTCTCGATTTTGCACGTAATGGGTGGTGTTATGAACTTTCGCATTTAGCCGAAAGTCTTATTTTCCATGTAACTCCGAAATTATTAGATTGAGCGGATTGTAAATTGCTGCATTCAATTTCTCGTATCTTGTTCTACTTGTATACTTACTTTCAATACAATAAGACCAAATTAGTTCTTTCTCGATTTTGGCTCGTAATGGGAGGTGTTTTGAACTTTAGCATTACCGGAAAGTC